AGCTGTTATATTCAGAAATTTCCCATAATAATTGATTTTAAAAGAAGCCGGCCAGGGAAAGTAGCTCATGTAATCCCCGCACTTTGGGAGATGAAGGTGGAAGGATGGCTTGGGGCCAGGAGTTTGTGACCAGCCTAGGCAACATAGGGAGACCTTGTCTCTACAAAAATAAAACAATTAGCCAGGTGTGGTGGTGCACGCCTGTAGGCCCAGATACTCTGGAGACTGAAGTGGGAGGATCACTTGAACCCAGGAGTTCAAGGCTGCAGTGAGCTACGACTGCACCACTGCACTCCAGCCTGGTGACAGAGAGAGACCTTGTCTGTAAAAAATAATTTTTTTAGATATTTAATTTATTTACCTAGTTGAAGAGGGAGTTTCACTGTCGTCCAGGCTGGAGTGCAGTGGCATGATCTTGGCTCACTGCAACCTCCATCTCCCAGGTTCAAGCAATTCTCTTGCCTCAGCCTCCTGAGTAGCTGGGATTACAGGTGTGGGCCACCATGCGCGGCTAATTTTTGTATTTTTAGTAGAGATATGGTTATACCATGTTGGCCAGGCTGGTCTCAAATCCCTGGCCTCAAGTGCTCCACCTGCTTCGGCACCCAAAGTGTGGGATTCCAGGCATGAGCCACCATACTGGACTTTTGTATAAATTTTCCTTTTTAAAAGGGTTCTGTTGATGAGCCTCAGGCCCCTTGAGTCTCATCTACTTCCATTGTGTGGCAGCAGTTTCTGTCTCTTCCCTGTTCCCCGGGAGCAGGAGCGAACACACCTCTCCTTTCCCTGCCCCAGGTCCTCCAGCCCCGCCTCACCTCCTCCCAAGGCCACCCTCCTGGCATGCCCACTCCAGTGTCTGGGACTTAGGGGAGGAGAGGCAGGTGGGTGGTGTCTTGCCTGCAGCATACAGATGACGCCAGTGGCCACCTGGAACACGGCACTCACAGTATCTGACACATCAAACACAGCTTCCTTGTCCTGGGAGGCACATGGCAGCAGGTGAGGGCCTAGCAGCCCCCTGGCACCCAGGGTCCCCACAGCCCCACCCCCACTGAGGCATCCTCACTGCCTTCCATGGGAAGAACACTCAGCACCCCAAGAAAGGAAGGGCAGAGAGCTCCAAGGGCAGCCACGGATGGGAGGATGTATGGCAATCCTGGGGGACCCCTGCCTGGGTGTGCCAGAGCCCCGAGAACTGGCATGTGGTATGTAGGCAGCGGGCCTCCACTGGCCACTACCCCAGCCTCACACCTGTAAGTCTTTGTTGTAGGTGCTGGAAGTTTCTTGAGGGTCATGAGGAGCCCAGCACACTGTGGGAAGAGGGAGGGACAGGGGCTGGACCTGGGATCTTGCCCCCTGGCCACCACCCCCCATCTGCACAGAGGGCCCGCCCCTCTCCCTGCCCTGCTCACCCGCGCAAACACATGCCTCACCTTGCTCTGGATCAGCTCCAAGCTGTCAGGGTTTTTCTTCTGGGGCATCAGGCTGCTGCGGTGCTGGGGACAGAGGTGTGGACACTGAAGGGGCTGGAACCTTGGCTGGTCCAGCAGGGCACTGGCCAGATCCGGCAGAGAGGTGGGGCGGAGAGGAGGGAAGCTGCAAGTGGTGGGTGGGGAATACAGAGGCCAGGAGGGGCAGGAGGTGGCAGCTCAGGGCTTCTCAGCTCAGGGCTTACCTGTAGGCATCCGAGAGCTGCACGAAGCTGAATTCCTTGGTGCCCTAGAGGATGAGGTCCTTGGCCATCCTGCTGAGATGGGTCATGCACAGCGAAGCCCAATACGGGAACTTGGCTGGGAGGAGAAAAGGTTCCCAGTCACCAGGCCTCTCCTGTCCCCACCCAGCCTGGGCATACAGGGGGTGGGAGGAGGTCTGAAACCTTTTCTCCCTTCCAGCCAAGCTCCTGTTCTGGGCTTTGCTGTGCATGACCCATCTCAGCAGGATGGCTGAGGACGTCACACCTGCAGGTAATAAAAGCTGGTTTATTTAAAACAACAACAAAAAACAGGCTAGGTGCAGTGGCTCACATTTGTAATCCCAGCACTTGGAAGGACAAGGCAGAAGATGGCTTGAGCCCGAGTTTCAGACCATATGCCTACAGGTAAGCCCCGGGCTGCCACCTCCTGGCCTCTGGTGAGATACCATTCACATACAATTTACTCATTTATTTATTTTATTTTATTTTATTTTTTATTTATTTAGTTTTTTTGAGATGGAGTTTTGTTCTTGTTGCCCAGGCTGGAGTGCAGTGGCTCAATCTTGGCTCACTGTAGCCTTGGCCTCCCGGAATCAAGTGATTCTCCTGCCTCAACTTCCTGAGTAGCAGGGATTACAGGCACCCGCCACCACACCCAGCTAAATTTTGTATTCTTAGTAGAGACAGGGATTCACCATGTTGGCCAGTGCTAGAATTACACCACCGTGCCCCAACCAATTTACTCATTTAAAGTTTGCATGCAGTGTGCAGCCATCACCACAACCAGCCTGATCATACAGGGGTAGGAGGAGACTAGAGAGAAGCTCGGCTAGGGGACAAAAGTGAGGCACAGGACAGGGGACTGGCTCCTCAAGACTCACCCACAAAGTCACGCTCACTGGTGGCATCCGTGCTGTTGAGAGTCATGGCCCCAAAGTTGAGTTCTGGGGGTGGGAGGAAGCGGGGTTGGGCTGGAGCACAGGGAGTGACCTCCTCTCCCTCAGCCAGGTTGCCCAGGCCCCTCCCCCTGGAGAGAGGATGGAGCAGGGCAGGAGCTCGTGGGAGGGATCTTTCGCACAGTCCCAGGAGGGAAGCAGGAGCCCTGAGTCTCTCAGTACCTGGCACCCCTGCCATGGGTGACTGCTGGCCTGGATGACCTCAGTGCCCGTAGGCAATGAATGAGGTTTCACCAGGAGACACAGG